AATCTCAACTCTGGGGAGGCAGAGGCAGGCAGATCTCTGTAAGATCAAGGCCCAGCCTGGTCCACTTAGTGACGTCCAGGCAGTGTGGGACTAGGGAAACCCTGTCCAAAAAAAAGAAAAAAGTGCGTAACCCTGGTGTGGTAGTGTAAACCTTTAATCCCAGCACTCAGGAGGCAGAGGCAGGCAGTACTCTGTGCAATGGAGATGGAGGCCACTCTGGTCTATATGGGGAGTTCCAGACCAGCTGGGGCTACAGGGGGACCCTGTCAAAACAACAAAACAAAACAAAAAATGGACATGAGACTCTTTTCTTAGGAGCAGGGATGCTGATACTCAGGCCATGTAGAAATCTGTTCATACTCTCTGTTTTCTTTCCTTTCCTACTTCTTTTTCCTGCAAAAATAATAGCATGTGTTAAAAAAAATCACATTATTAGGGTAAAGACAACAGGAAGCCATGTGACTCAGAAGAATTGTGGCACTCCATTCCTGAGCACAGCCCTCAGTCATTAGCTCTTTCCCCATGTGACATCACTAGTGGCTGGTGGCCCCATGGGAAATGATACCCCAAATCCCATGGGTGAGTAGGAACCACAGGGGCTGTCAGTGAGCAGTGAGAAGCAGAAGGGGAGAGTCTTAAGGAAGCAGTGGCTTGAGTGGCTTGAGTAGGGCTTCTGGAAATGTCCTGCGCTAGGGTCTTTGCCATCCTAATGTCAAGAGGCTGTGGGCCAGAGCAAGATACCTCCCCTCCCCTGCGCTTACTGCTCTGCATGTTTAAGTGAAAAATTAGACAAGCTGTTTTCTAAATTTGATACATTTCTAAGAGGTTAGAAGAGGTGACATTCACATTATATCAGGAACACCATTGCTTATTGAGGGTTTCCTGGTGTTCAGCACTGTTCTCTGAAGGCATCTTTACTTCAACCCTGTCTCAAGGTACTTATTACAGATTGAGCATCCCTTATTAGAAATGCTTGGGACCAAAAGTATTTTAGATTTCAGATTTTGGAACATTTGTAGAGTTGTGACCTACTGAGCATCCCTATTCAAAAAAAACATGAAATGCTCCAAATCTGTGAGTGCTGACACAATGTCCCTCAAGTTCTTGCAACTAGTAGCACTTTGGATTTTGGGTTTAGGACTGTCTGATCGGGATTAACTTTTAAAGATGATGCTACTGAGATGTGGGAAGGGACATAACTGGTGGTGAATGTTTGCTCACTGAGTGAAGGATGAAGTTGGGATGTAGTAGATTCTGAAGAAAGAGCTGGGCTCTCTCCCAGGGTATAATCTAGTTCTCTTCAGTTGATGCTCCTGTGGTCTAGTTCGGATCCAAGAAAGGCTTCATACTGCAGGTATGCCTATAAGCAAAGGAAACAGAAACTAGTTCCCGAATCTTGGTTCTAAATGAGGAGGAATTATTCTACATTTGAAAAATAAAGACTAATTTTGCAATGTTTGTCAGGTGATATAGTCTCCTGTGGAGAAAAAGAGTCCTTAATTTGAATCAGTTTTTCCTCTCTATCCTCTAGAAATGCAGTCTTAGCATCCAGTTCTATTCTTTGGTCCATTTTATTAATGAAAAAATGGGCATAATTTGTTTAGAAATTTTATGAAATACAGCAAACTAAAGCCAGCCATTTTCAGCTCGGAATAAACTTGCTTGTGTGGAGAGCATTACTCAGACAGAAGTAGACCTGGAAATGGCTGTTAATGGCTTGAACACACTTCTTTTGTTGTTTGTTTCATGGGCTTTGATAGAGAGGAGAAGGAAATAATTGAGCTCAGCCCATCTCCTCTGCAGGGGTGGCTGTGCTTCTCCAGAAGAAAGCCTTTGAGATTTACAGACAGAGAGAGTGGAAGCTGCCCCTTTGCTTACTGTACACCCCACACCCCAGTGGGAGCAGCCCAAGTACAGGTGGAGCTGTGAGTAACTGCTCACTTTCTGCAGTCCCTTTTTATCCCTGTGAAGCAGTGTGAGTGGGCTGACATTTTCCTATCCTTTTCAGCTTTGCCCAATATATTTACTTTTCTATTCCTTTGTTTCAACTCACATAGCAAATGTGTGTCCAGTAAGATGATATTTTGTTAAAAACCTCAGGGCTGGAGAGGTAGCTCAGTGGTAGAGCATTTGCCTCATATGTATAAAGCCCTGTGTTAGATCCCCAGCACCATGAAAACCAAATAACTAAACAAAAACAACCCAAAACCTTAATGAGTACCTTTAGCCATTTGGAAGAAGACTTATGAGGAAGTACAAGTCCTCAAGAGCTATGTGACTGTGCCTTAGGCCTTTGGGTTAAGAAAGAGATGGAGGGGCCAAGCGAGATGGCACAGTGAGAAACGGCACTTGCTGCCAAGCCTGATGACCTGAGTTTAATTCTCAGGATCCATGTGGTGGAAGAAGAGATTCAACGTCTGCGAGTTGTCCTCTGGCCTCCATACATGCACCATTGCATATAATGTAAAAGTCTTTGTTTTCCATAATTAAATTATTTTTTTATGCTTTGAAGAATTATTTTTTTAATCATTATTTTTTAAAAAAATTTTTAATAACTACATGATTAGAAGAAGCATTTCACTGCAGCTTTAACGTATTCAGTAACACACTCCAGAGCAAGAATACATCTCTTTCACAAGTGGGTACAAGTTTATTTTGTTTTTTTTTTAAGAGCTTTAAAAACATTGTAGTCTGTCACATATAATTGTCTTGAATCTGAGCTGAGGTCTTTCAGCAGCATTTGTTGGCTCTGTGTGACTTGACGGCAGGAGCAGTGCAGAGTGAGCATGATGTGTTGCTGAGAACCAAGGTTGCAGGGAAATTATGGGGTGCAGCATAGGAGGGCACTGCCAGAAGCACTCAGATTCATTATGAATTTGATTTTCAATTAGTTTTTGTTGTTGCACACTCAGAAAGCTTTTACTACTGTCTTTTTTTTTCTATGACTCCCACATTCACTAGTACAATCCCATATGGATCGCAACCCAGTTTAAGAAACTATGCCTTTGTACTATACAACAACTATATAGCATTACAATGTAGTAGGCATTATTAGTTGCTTAGAGATGATTTAAAGTCTGCAGGAGGATGTGGTAGGTCCTATGCAAGCACACCATTTTTACATAAGGGGACTTGAGCATCCACAGATTTTGTGGGATAGCCTGAAGCTAGTCCCTTGGGAGTACACAGGTACAACTGCCTAGCTTAAAATGTGGACTGAGGATGATATGCCTTAGATTGCTCCCAGAGCTTTTTTTTAATTAAAAAAATTATTTATTATTTTTAGGTGTGAGTGTATTACCTGCATGTATGTAAGTGCAACTGTATCCTGCAGTGTCCACAAATGTCAGAAGTGGGCATCAGATTCCCCTGGAACTGGAATTATGGACAGTTGTTAGCTGTCATGTGGGTGCTGGGAACTGAACCCAGGTCCTCTTCAAGAGCAGCCAGTGCTCCTTACTACTCAGCCATCTCTCCAGCCCCCTTCTCCCAGAGCTTTTAAAAACAACTACTTTGAGAATTTCTATATTAGAATTTTAAAGAGTAGAGGCTTAGATAACCTACAGTTCAAAGACACACCTGAGGTGAGAGCACAGTACCCAGAACTTTGGGTGTAAAGCTTGAAGAGGGCAGTATACTCACAGGCTGCCTCCAGTGCAGAGGACATAGATAGCACTAGTAAGGCTGCTAATGTCACTGGACAGAGCAAGTCCTTTATAAGAGTGTGCTAATGAGGTGGTTCTCAGAGCCTTGACTTGGGCAAATCCTCCCCAGGATGTTTCTATCCCAGTATTGTGGTGAAAATGAAAATGACCCAGTGTGTCAGCTGTCCTTTGACTGTAGTGACTGGCATGTGGAAGAGACATCCTAGAAAATGTCTAGCACATTCTCAGTAGATTGAATTCTTTTAAGATTTACATTGATCAAGGTGCTGCCTTGCTTTTGTTCATTAACATTTTTCCTTTGCAATAGCTAGATTGTGAAAAGCTAACAAATATCTAAAAAGTAGCATTTTGGGGCCTGGAGAGATGGCTCAGCAGTTAAGAGCACTGGCTGCTCTTGCAGAGGACCTGGGTTCAGGTCCCAGTACCCACATGGTGGCTAACAACCATCTGTAACTCCAGTTCCAGGGGAATCTGACACTCTCTTCTGACCTCCACAGTCAATACACTCATACACATAAAATTTAAAAAGTTATATACTTTTTGATTTTCCCATCTCCCAAAATGTTTAGAAGTTTCTGTGCTTTTGGGGCTAGAGAGATGGCTCAGCATTTAGGAACACTGGCTGTTCTTGCAGAAGACCTGGGTTTGAATCCCAGACCCACATGGCAGCTAACAACTGTACTTCACTCCAGTTCCAGGGGATCCAACACCTCTTCTGTCCTCCATGGGCATTGCATGACACGGGTGCACTTACCTACATGCAGGCAATACATGCATACACAAAAAATAAAAAAAATAAAATAAAATAAAGAAATTTCTGTGGTTTAGCCATTTTGGATAAGAAACCAGAATATCATTGGCTCAATAGAATTAAAACAGTTTTTTTCAAAATGCATTGAAATAGTTAAAATTGACTTATAAAATAAAACCATTTTCTGATTAGAATTTTATGGGTTGAACTTAGCTAATTTGGAAATCTGAACTCTGAAGTGTCCCTACTTATGAACAGTTTTTCAGCACTAACATGATGTCACAAGTGGAAAATTCTACATCATGGAAATTTTCATGAAAGAATTGCAAGATTCCCTTTGGGATATGTGTGTAAGGCATATTTGATACATAAGTGAATTTTGTATTTAGATTTGGGTCCCATATCCTGTCATTATGCATATGCAAATATTCCAAAATCTAAAAAGCAAAAAAATCCAAAAGAGATCTGGTTCAAAGCCTTTTGGATAAGGGCCACTCAACTTGTGTGACAATTGAATATTGCTTTTGACACAGGAAACAGCTAAATTTTGCCATGTATTTATTTCCTTTCTTTTTTCTTAACAGGAAAAACTAACTCAAGAGTGTGTATTCAGAGAACAGTTTGAAGAAAATTGGTATAACACCTACTCATCGAACCTGTATAAACACATGGACACTGGAAGGAGATTCTATGTTGCATTAAATAAAGACGGGACCCCAAGAGAAGGGACCAGGACTAAACGGCACCAGAAATTCACACATTTTTTACCTAGACCAGTGGACCCTGACAAAGTACCTGAACTATATAAGGATATTCTAAGCCAAAGCTGACAAAGACAATGTCTTCACTTGAGCCCTTAAAAACATAACCACTATAAATGGTTTCATGCAGTGGGTTCTTATTGATTAGCTGTGTCATCACCTCAGCCCCACTGTTGCCAAACTTTGTCGCATGCATATGTATGATGGAAGCTTGGATGGGAACATGCTGATTTTGCTCTGCACTTACTGGCTGGTCCTCCTGGAGGACTGCCTGGGGCCACTTGCTTGATTTATTGTGAAAGGAGGGGAGAGAGGGTGAGTGAGAGGGTGCGAGTGTGTGAAGGGGCGAGTAGAGGGCGAGAGCTGAGAGAGAGCCAAGAGGACAACGGCCTGATGCATGCTGGGAAATAGACACGCTTTTACATTTTTGATCAGTTGAACTTCATCCTTTATCAGCACAGCTGCCATACTCCGACTCATCAGGATTTCTGGCTGGTGGCCTGCACAAGGAAACGCTGCGTTTTCACAGGCATGGAGGGTGCAGTCTCACTCAAAGACTTTCAGTTCCTTCTCACTGATATCATCCCAGTGAGTTTAAGCAAAGACCTCTTAGTTTAAAAAAAGAAAAGAAAAAAAGAAAAAAAGAAAAAAAAGAAAAAAAGAAAAAAAGGTTAAATTTATTTATAGAAATTCCAAAAGCAACATTTTATTTATTTTATATATTTATTTATTATATAGAGTTTATTTTTAATGAAATATGTACAGGCCAGATAGGCATTTTGGAAGCTTTAGGCTCTGTAAGCATTAAAGGCAAAGTCTGCTATGAACCTGTGGTAAATTCATGCAAGTAGGTATATGAGAAATTCTAATGACCCTAATGTACTACAGACGACAATCTACTTTGTGCCCGTATTATTGTAAACTTCTGCACATCGCTCATGACACTGAGTATTCACTCTCCAGACTGCTTGTTTCATAGCTTACCCCAGAGGATTAAAGATAAACTGGGTCTCAACCTTTTATTCTGTGTCTGTAATTTTCCTCTCTTATAAGTCACGCTCAGTGTAACTTCGCGTTGGGATGTATGAGGGTTGGTATATGTCTTGTTTAAATTTATTGTAGAGTATACCAAAGGTAGACAATAACTATGTTTTTAGATTTTAGCCCACTTCCATAACAATAGAACTGACATCCAACATGGTACTGACTTAAAATTCTCGAGGGATAGACAAAAAAGCTTATGTAGCACAGATTCTTTTCTCTTCTCTGTTTTTGAGATGAAAATCAGATGAGCAGGATTATTGTGAACTTTTTATTTGTGCACTTGGCTATCAAATATGAAATGATTTAAATACCCTAGGGCTCATCATGACACCTTTTTATGGAGGTTGCATTTGGTGTGAACTATTATAATTTCATGGGACTAGAAACCCTCAAGTAAAACTTGCAACATGAAACCAATAAACTTTATCAGTAAAGACAGTGGAGGGGTGTTACACCCATTGCCTGTGCTTTGTTTTCTAAAAGGGCCTTCAGAAGTGCTCAACTGTTTTTTAGAGGGGAGTTTATTGTCCAGAAGACCTTTTACAAAGCTTTTTATAACATTTTATGCTGCAGAGCATAAGAATACATATTTATTTGGTAGCAAAAATTTTGAAACTTGTCTTGGGGCAAGGAAGACTATTTCTTACTATATACTAAGGTAAAAAGAGCCAAATTCTTAAAGCAATATTTAAGAAAAAGGAATTTATAACAAATTCTCACTCCCTAGCCAGTTACATCGGGAAATTGGAAGTGACAGTTAAAAAATGTGTTCAGATTTATGTAACTAAATTTAGAATTGAATATTCCAGCTTTGTTTCACTCTGATGCACATTCTCTATGGGAAATGGAAGCATGTCATTGGCAAGTTAAAGCTGTTGTGAACTAAAGTGCTTGACTCCCTGTCATGAGCAAATCTATGCAGCTCTGGGTGTGGTCCAAGCTGGAGCCCATGGGGATGTTCTCCTGCTGTGCACCAGGGAAGGACTAAATCTCATATTTGGAATTGGATGATGCTTGGAGGGAGGGGCTGGACACTGTAAGATAGTTATAAAGATCAGGAAGTCCTCTTACATTCTTGAGAAGTTTTTTTTTTTTCTTTTTCTTTCACTTTGTAAACAGACACTGCATTGAATTCTGGACAGTGTTCTTATTTATTATTTGACCCTTTGCTGCTGCTAAGATATGCATATATTCAGACTGTAGTTTTTTTCCAAGAAACATTTGTTTTCTTATTGCTGAAAAAGATTCAGCGTTTGACCACAGGAAAGAATCAAGTTTCTAGGATGTCATAGATGTAATATCCAGCACTAAAGAAATTGATTTTAGAAGACTTAAACTAACAGAAGTTCCAGATAATCAGCAAAAAAAAAAGAAAATTATCAAAACTAAAATCTTCATGCATTCTTAGAAAATGCTACTTTAATGTCTAGTTTTGGACATATTTTTGGTTTTGGTACCTTTTTTTCTTTTTTAAAGAGAAGCAAAATGTTATATGCTTTCAGTAACCAATATAATAAACTGTAATGGTCTGTAAATAAATAAATATTGACTTATGAAAATTCATGTAAATAGACGTTTTGGGAGAGAAGATGGTTCAGGGTTTCTGTGTGAGCATCACCCTGTGGGGTAGAAGAATTGTCCTCGGTATGGTATTTGGGTTTGCAGCCAGTTCTTCCTGTAAGAGACCCAAAGCCCATTGGATGGCAGCCCCAGACCACTGTGGGATGGGTGATCCTAGTTCACAAACCCATGCTCAGATAGCCAAACCACTCTCTTGTTGGTGCCAGCCCTGGCATCTTGGTCAAAGACTTAGCCAGAGTGGACCAAACTACCTTCCCATCTGTCATGCACATGTCCCCAAGCAGTGTCGAAGGACATGCCAGGTCAATGATAGGGAACCTGCTCTGCCAGGTTCTGTTTTATAGATAAACGAATGGTGTTTTCACTCTATTCCATCTCATTAACACTACAACATTGTGTTATTTATTTGATAATCTGTAATTGTATATAAATACAAATAGGACTATGTAATTCACGTAAATACATAATTACAGACTTTTGAGAGAAAACTGGTATCGTTTACTTGATGTCCATTTTGGAGCTGCTGCAGATTCTTTGTATGAACCAGTGCAATTTTAAAAACACACTCCTTTATCCTTACAGCATGCCCATGCAGTGTGTACGCACTGAGGAGCTGGGCAGCATAGAGGATGGGGGAGGAACACATTCACTTGTGTTTCCTGTGATCATTTGATGAAGAGGCCAGGAATCTGGGATGAAGATTTGTGAATTTGAAACAAGCAAATACTGGGTGTTTGCACATTTTCATAGATGGATGGACAGTGTATATTGTTCGAGGTCAAACTCTGTTTGCTGCATCACTTGACCTTGAAATGTGCCAAATTTAGATGCACTGTCTGTGGTCACTTGCACAAAAGAACAATGAAGTGGTGGGGGTGGGGCAAAATGCCAAATGGAGTCAAAATGTCTGAGCCACCAAGCCCCCTCTAGTATGTGTTGGCATGGATGATCTACGTATCTGCAGATATCTTTCTTAAACTGATATTTGATTCTTAGTGGAATGGGGAGGAATTATAACAATAAATTGTCTCTGTGTTCTTCAAGATACATCCAGCCCACAATATAGTGATTCAGGTTTGAAGACTGGATGCTGGCTACAGAAAGTTTAGCTTAAAATTTGTGAACAGAAGCTCAAAATTAGGATTTTTAACCTTTTTTTTTTCCTTTCTTTTACTTTGAGTGTGCTTCTATGGTTGCCCTTAGGTCTTTAGAAGAAAGTTTTATGATGTAGCCTAATCTTCATCAGAATAGAAGATTTCAAAATAAGAAAAAGATTCTGCCATAATTTTCTTTGGGAAGAAAGTAAAAATAAGTGTCCTAAGGTGTTTCCTCCTCCTGCATCTTCCGCTGGCCACAGCTGTCGGGCCAGACAATTATTGTGAGGCTTCCTCAATATTTTGGCTAATAGTAAGAAAATTCATTCTTTAGAATTCCAATTGTTCTCCAACTATATTTCAGGTTATATTGTGGAAAGCATTATTAAAATTTAATTAGGAATATCCATAGGATTACTGGATAACTGAAAAGCCCATGGCAAATTGTGGTTGGAACTAGTCTTTATTCTGTGTTTCCTGAAGTCCTTTTCATTATGTTTGTGGTTCTGGTTGATTCCCATTGATATATGTGGACTTATCCAGGTAAATGTGACACCAAGAGCTGAGGAGTTAAAAGCATAGGCTGTATAATAAAATCTAGAGTTGAAGGACTGGTTTGCCCTCCTCACATAGGGCAAGGGCAAGCTTTATTGATAATATTCACAGCTCAACTGTGAGAGACCTATTTTTTTTAAATACTCATGCAGACTTTCTCCTAACCATTTTTTGGGGATGGTGCAAAACATTCTTAAGCTCCACCTGGTCACTGCCTCTGGCTCCTAGCCCAAGCATATGCATAGGACTATAAATGACAGCTTTGTGTGATTTCTGCTGCTTACTAACTACTAAGGGACTATGCCTAGTCTGTAAGTTTAGTGGAGCTACTCTCACAGAGGCAATACTCCCAGTGTGCCTTTATTCTATGGCTGACAAGTTTTTTCCATCCTTCCTTTCCTATTTTTCTTTCCTTCACTCCCATCCTTCTATCCAGTGGAACTGGTATTTGTGACAGAGACAGTAACTGTCACTGATGGCACTCACAGAGGTTAACCAAGAACACACTGTGGTATAGCACCCCGAATCTTGGGATAAAGAAGGTTTCAGGCTATGAACTAGGAGATGTACACAATCCAGACTTCGAGAGGCTGGGGTGGTGAGGTCAAAGGTGAAATGTGAGGGATGAGCATTAATTACAGAAAAGAGAGATAGCTATAGGTTCTCTGGTGTCTTGTGTGTGTGATGAAAGTGTTTGTCCTTTGTGAATATGGGCTGCTTGTATCTTTTCCTGATACTTGCCAGATAACAGTGGCTGAGCTGAAGTTTTCTTCCAACCTTATGGAGGGTTGCTGATGTGGAGATGAAGAGAGACCTGGTCGTGGAGTTCGACACTTCTGCTGCTGGGGCTTACATGTGTCCTCATCTACAGTGCTCTTTTGTTTCTCCTGGTTTCTCTCCAGTGGAAGGTGACCCTTTCAACTGTACTTCACACTACTCACTTAGAATTTCCCCACGTTGACTTAATATTGCAGACAGAATCTCCAATATGATAACAACGAAGGCATAAGAAAGCAAAAGACGTGAAAATATAACCTAATCTTCAAAATATTCAGTTTATTTTTTTGAGACAGGGTCTCCATGTAGCCCCAGCTGGCCTGGAATTCGTTATGCAGAACAGGCTATCCTCGAGCTCATAGAGATCCACCTGCCTTGGGCCACCATGCCCAGCTCTTATTTAAATATACACTGAGCAGCAGCTGTATGGCATGAAATAGCACTAGAAATAACATAGTAAAAACAAGTTGTATGAGGTGACTGATGCCTGTAATCCCAGTGCCCTAGAGGCTGAGGCAGGAGGATTACTGTGAGTTTGGGGCTAACCTGGGCTATATAGTGAGTTTCAGGACAATCTGGGCTATGATGTGAGACCTGTCTCAAGAAACCAAAAATTAAAAAGACCAAAACTACAAAACACTTATCCAAAACAATGAAGCAAACAAATGAAAACAAAACCAAAAACCTCCAACAAAACCTAAGGTCTAGTGAGGTGGCTCAGTGGGTAAAGGCACCTGCCACCAAGTCTGATTGCTTGAGTTTCATCTCTAGGGTCTGCATGGTACAAGGAGAGCACTGACTCCTTCAAGTTGCCCTCTGAACTCCAGCAGTGTGCTATGGCATGCACATGACCATGCACCTACATATATATATATATACACACACACACACACACAAAATAAATAAATAAATAAATAAATAAATAAATAAATAAATAAATAAATGTAATAAGATGGCTTAGTGGTTAAGAG